GCTCAAATCTTTTGAGATTGGAGAGCTCAACTTGGGAAGGTTGCAACTAAGGTAAGTGTAGCTATTTTGTCCTTCTATTTTCATTTGTACGTGTAGTGTGTGTGATTTTGGGAGCAATGTAATAATTAATGCTACGAGACTTGTGTGAACTAGAATTTTATTAATTAGTGAAAATTCAATGGCTAATGGATTTAATAGGATTTAGTAAGAAGTTTAGATGATCTTAGGAGGACATTAATTGCAAAAGAAATGAGGGATTGGTAATACATTAATTAACTGGGATTAAAATGACGGTGATTAGTTATTGGTTGTTTAAAGTGGGGGAAAATACGATGAGGTGAGAGCAAAAGATTGCAACAAATTTTAGATGCGTCATGAGATCGATAATAATGCGTTATTACTTTCGAATGAAACGTTTTTAGTACTTTTTTTTAAGGGGCTGTTTGGTTCGTTTTTTAACTCGGTGGAAAAGTTTTACACCGCTTCCACATCAGATTTTTCGTGCCCACGTAGGATATAAGCTTTCCGTCGGTTTTTTTTCTCATTTTTGGTTCGCTAGGGTTGAAGAAGAGAAACTCGGTGAAATCCGCCGTCACATCAGATTTTTTTCTCTCCCCCAATTCCTTTCTCAATCTCGTGAAATCGACGAAAACTGCAGCCACGTCAGCTTTTTGCCATATAAACAAAAGGTTTCCCTTTTTTTCCATGCGAACCAAACACAAGAAAAATAAATACATCGGCTTCCCACCATTTTTTTTGTGTGAACCAAAGCGAAACAATCTATTTTTTAAAAAAATTTGAAAAACTCAAAACTTGTGTTTTTGTACATAGAAATGCATTTCCCTATATCTAGGAAACGAACCAAACAGCCCCTTAGAAGAAAGTAAATGAGAGCTCCAATATCTCTATAATTTATAGTGCCTAGCTTGAAGTCTCTATCATTGCATTAAAATTCCGAAGGTAGTGGCACCAAAATTTCACTCTCCGAGAGATTGAAGGCCCTTATCATACGCTGAAATATGAACTATAGAGTGGTATTTCTCAATCTATTTTATAAATTCGTGGCCAACAAGATTGTAGAGAAGAATAATACAATAAGAATCACACATTAATATTGAAAAAATAGATTAAGAATCACACATTAATTTCAATATCACACATTAATGAATAGCTTAAGAATCACATATTAATATTGAAATTAATGAATTCAAATTTCAGCCTATGAAAAGATTTGGAAGAAAAAAAAGTATCTCGACTAGACATAGCGGCTTGACTTGTGAACTTGCTGTTATGTTTCCCCTTTTTTGGGTATTCACATTATTTTTCTCTACATATGTTTCCTAGAAAATTTTCCAGCTAGGATGTAAAAAATATTAAATACCTAATCTTAGTGAAAGTGTATCTTTATTTGCATCATTTGGTGGGATAATCATCTCAGACAAAAAATCCTTCCCGGATACATCTTCCTTTTTGCCAAAGATAACTCTTGACGTAAAGATATCTACTTTTTAGGGGACATTTTGTCACTCACGAACCATTATAAAGAGGACCATGTTAATGGTATCAATACAATGAATAAAAGATTTTCCAAAAGATAATAATGAAATTAGACTATACTTTCGTAGGTAAGATTTGGTCCTAAACAAGCTTCCTTAGTAAACCAAAGATGAGTTTAACCTTGTGGGAGGCACTTACGGTCTTGGGTTCGATTTCGGACAGGGATTAAAAAAACACGCACACTTTGGCGGGCGCTTTTTAGTAACAAACAAATAACTCCCACTATTTCTTTTTTTTTCCAAAAACGGAGTAGTTTGGTCAATGACGTAGCGCGGAAGTGATAGCCTCGGAATCCACTAAGGACGTTCTTTGAATCCACAAAGAATAATCTTCGAATCCACGAAGAACTTCGAATCTATGAAAAAAATATTAAAAAGAGAAATTTTATTGATCAAAAGTTATTATTCTCCTTTGGGGTTACATGACTCTTCTTAAATAGAAAAATAAATAAGACTACTAGTAATTAAGGCTAGAATTACAAGGAAATAGAAAGTATCAAATTCTATCCTAAAAAGACTATCTATAATAGAGGAAACAAATCATTAATCAAAATTGAATTTATTTCCTAATCTAATTTGACTATAAAATTGAATTTATTTCCTAATCTAAATAGACTCCAACTTTATTACTAAAAATAAACTAAAAGCTAATTATTTTCGGATTTTAGCCAAAACCGGGTATTACTAAAGAGATTTTAAAAATCTGACAATCTAGTTGGCTCCATCTCGTCGAGATAGGCGATTTACATATATAATACGTTAGAATCCGCCTTCTGGGTTGGAAGATATGATCATTTCTTTGCGGAGGTCAATAATACGTATAAATCTGCATTTAGCTCGTGATTGTCTGCATCCCCCATGAAATTGTCAGTTAAGCGTCCTACATCAGTCAAAAAGCAAGCGCTTTACAAAGAAAGAACTACGGCTACGTAACTATTTTGATAGTGCGTGCATATAACTATGTGTTTCTTTCAACATTTGAACTCTTCCATCAGTGTAGAAAGGATCCTAGTTTGGGGAAATTAAACAACATTTAATTAAGCTCTAAAATTCTTGTGTAGTGGACACTTTTAACACTATGTTATAGCGACATGTACTTTTGGTTTCTCTCCTTAATTAGCCAACCTTACTCGCCTAATTATGAGTTATATATCCACCTCATTAATTTGTAAAAACTATGATGTCTAATCTGGTAAAAGTATTCCGTACTAATTATCTGGACTTTTATGTCTACAGAATTGAGATGTTTATCCATTTATGTGTGGGCTAAATACTCATATTGGTATTTTAATTCAACCTCATTTGCCAACAAGGTATTTTATTTAGGAAATTCGGCGATAAGACATTTTAATTGAATAAAATTACCATTTAGGTCCTTTTTCTCGTCGGCGGCCACTTTTCCGGCGAGAACTCATCACGTGCGTTGCACGTGGGGGCTTAATCTATGTTTAAGATGCTGATGTGGCTCTGTTTTCTGACGTGGCAGGGAGAATAACCCTCTAAAAACCAATTCCCACCCAAAATAGGACATATTTCCCCTTTCGTTTTCAGAATTTGAGCGCGAGAGAGAGGGAGAAATAGAGAGTGAGCCATCATCGTTGAGGCAGTTGAAGGCGATAGATTGCAGAGATTTCAACTGATGGTGTTCCTCGGTGCATGCATTAGGTGATTTGCGAAGGACGACGACTTGGTATGGGTTGACAGGAATGCGAAGGTTTGATGCCGATCCCAATTTTCCACTCACCCTGCTTGCTTCCTCGTTCCACCTTCTAATACCTGCCAAAGAATTCAAACCATGATTATTACTTACATGCGATCCCAATTTTCACTCACCCTGCTTGCTTTAGAACGAGAGCTTGAATGAGAGCTTGAACTTGATGCCGATGACATAGTTTCTTCTCTTCCAATGACCCGATGTCATAAACCCTAATTCCCAATTTTCCCCAATTCGATCCCTCTTTTATTCTCCCTGCCACGTCAGAAAACAGAGCCACATCAGCATCTTAAACACAGATTAAGCCCCCACGTGCAACGCACGTGATGAGTTCTCGCCGGAAAAGTGGCCGCCGACAAGAAAAAAGATCTAAATGGTAATTTTATTCAATTAAAATGTCTTATCGCCGAATTTCCTAATTAAAATACTTTGTTGGCAAATAGGGTTGAATTAAAATACCAATATGGATATTTAGCCTTTATGTGTGTATCAATTAGGGGTGGAAGTGAACCAAATAATTAACAAATAGTTCGATAATTATTCGAGTAACTATTCGGTCATATTCGATTCGGTAGTTCATTTACCACTAAACAAATATTTTTTAGTATTCGAGTTTACTAACAAATAGAATTTAACCAGATGTATATTCGATTCGTTTGTCTATCAAATATTCGTTTAAAATTTGATCACTTATTATTTGTATTATTTCACATATGATGTCATATTTTTAACCTATTTACCATTTATACTAAAGTTTTATGTACTGATTTTAAGACTTAAACTAATCTTAAATTTATTTTCTAATGAAAATTTTGATTTAAATATACATACATTACTTATTATAAAGGAATATTTTTTATTTATGAATTTAAATATCATTTGAAAATCAAATTCTTTAGCGGAATAAATATACTTTGATATTCGAAAAGTATTCGTGAATATTCATGAATATTTATCAAATACCAAGTATTCGAGTTCGAATTCGAAAAACTCCATACATGAATATTAGAGTCTGCATTCGAATTCGATAATTTTAAACAAATACAAATACGAACACTTTAGTATTCGATTCGATTCGATCATTTACCACCCCTAGTATCAATCACGTGTAACCCTGCAGTAAACTCTTTTGTTCTCAGTAACTTAATTAATTGCACTCGAACATGGCGAAGAGAAATTGATTGGTCGGTTCACTTTGATGATTGAGAAAAGGTATATATAATTAAATTACACGAACTTAGGTTAATTAGAAAATCGTTTACCAACTCATCATGCATAATTAACTAATAAAACTTCCAATTATTCACTCTTTCACCCTTCATCACAAGTTCCTTGAAGAAGATATTTATCTATATACCGTGCATGGCCAAAAACCACAAGTACCTATTTCTGGAAACCATAGAAAATGTGGTAGTTTTAAAGGTAAAAAAAAAAAAACCTAGCTATAATTCTAGTCACCTACAGTTAGGTAGAAAAGCTAAAAAGATATTTTAATAATTCACCAATCAAGGAAACATATTAATTAGAAGTCCTCAAAAGAGAGGGAGACGGAAGAGAACAAAGCGTGGGCAGTCGGTCTTCCTGTGGGAGGCACGTGTCCCTTACGTTACCGCAACAATGAGTCCGAGCGCGTGCAAAACCCCCTGCCCTGATAATAAGACAAATACAATAGGACATTTGCGTGGGCCCCCCCACCCCCACCTCCCTCCTATAAAGAGGAGGACCTTCTCTTTTTTGCTCCACTCCGGTCCTCGGTGCAAAGAAATTGTGGATGCTACACCTTGACACACTAATTAAATTGGGGGTACATTCTTCATCTTTTTCTCCCCTCCCTGAAATTTCCTCACTTTATTTCCTTTCTAATTGATTAAATAGGTTGATATCTACGTGGATCGATCATGGCCAAAAAAATATCAACTTATGATTCTAAATTCATGCGATTTTACTGATGTCTCGATGTACCTAAACTTAAATTGGTAACAAAGTAATGTAGCTAGCCTTTTCATAAGTATATACGTATGTATCGTATGGGTTCAATGTACATACAATTACACCTACGATGACGTATGTTTGAGTTCTACAGGAGTGGCGACTCTATCTGTTTCGTGACGATTTACATAAGCTCAGTGCTCCAACTTTGGTATCAACTTGAGGCTCACAGCTTATGGACATGAAGTCCGATACACCCGCGAAGGAGAATGCAGTTGCGAAAGTTGCTCCTGAGGAAAATGACGCGGTGAAAACCACAGAGGAGGATGCTCGATCTGCGTCGACGGAACCCCAGCTGAGGAAGAGAAAGACGGGCCTTCACATATTTTTCATGGACATAAGGTACCGTAAATACGTAGCGTTACCGCGGTATCAGACTTTTTCGGGGGAATGTTATAGCTGACATTCTGAGTGCAAAATTAAATTAAACGTAACAGGAGCGTGTACAAGTTGGATGAACTAGGATCAGAGATCGCAACGATAGCGATTCCGGCGGCGCTTGCTTTGGCAGCTGATCCTCTTGCGTCTCTGGTAGACACTGCTTTCATTGGCCAAATAGGTTTGTTTTGTTTTTACATTTCTTTTCCTCTCTTTTCCAGTTGATACATTGGCGTGTTTGCTTCCTCTTCAGCATATGGTCATTTCAGGCCTTTGTAAGAGCAGCTCTTACTTAATGTTATATTTATTATGGTAATCTTTAGATCACTAGAAGCACAGACTGTATTTTTTTTTTTTTTTTTTTTTTTTTTTTTTTTTTTTTTTTTTTTTTTTTTTTTTTTTTTTGCTCTGCTAATAGGTGCTTTTCTGTACTTAGGATGAGACCGTCCGTTATCAAAATGTATGTATGTACCTGTTACTAAACACCTATCTACTTCTGGTTAGAACTTTCCTTATTTCCTTTTCATGTTACAATATAAAAGCCTCAAAACTTTTTCGCTTGATTGATTTTCTTTCACCTGTGGAGCACAAACCATCATTTACATGTATGTATCGATTACGAGATACTACTTGGATTAGAATTTTCTATACATAGGCCCCAACCTTATTATTCCGTTGCTTTAATTTCCCTTCTTCTTCTTTTTTTTTCGTCCATATGTTTATATGTTGATGTTCCAAACATGCCATACTGAAAAAAGTTACACACAAACTATCGTCTGAAACTTCTAGGTTCGGTGGAGCTGGCAGCAGTAGGAGTCTCTATTGCTCTATTTAATCAAGTTGCCAAGGTTGCAATCTACCCTCTAGTTAGCGTTACGACATCTTTTGTAGCAGAAGAAGATGCTACTTGCAGTCAGATCACTGAAGAGCGAAAAAACGCAGATGTAGAAAAGGCGACTACCGTAAATAACGATAACGAAGAACCAACTTCTTGTAATGGTATGCGTACGCCATAACTTGAAACATCAAGTTCATTTCTCTTTTTTTTTTCTCCCTGAATTCATAAAGATTTATTGACTATGACATCGCTAATACTTTCTTCGATCTGTAATCAGTTTCAGACTCCAGAAAAGCAGGGTATAGCATTTCTTGTGTAGCTAACAAATTTACAAATCCGTTTCGATCTGGGAGTAAGCGTAAGTATATACCATCGGTATCTTCAGCATTGATCGTCGGTGCACTGCTTGGATTTGTTCAGACTATTCTACTTACATTTGGGGCAAAACCTTTGTTAAACATCATGGGTGTAAAATCTGTGAGTACATTTTTCTGACTTTTACCATGACATTATTTCATCGTTGTGTTGATATAATGTATGCACATTTCATATATTGATATTTATGCTAACTTGTTATACCTTTTTATCTAAACAGATAGAGGTATAATAGAGTTCATGATATAATTAATAGTTTATCCTTTGGTGTGATAGGATTCCCCAATGCTAGCCCCAGCATATCGATATTTGACATTGAGATCACTTGGTGCTCCTGCTGTTCTCTTATCATTAGCTATGCAAGGAGTTTTCCGAGGCTTTAAAGACACAAAAACTCCTTTATTTGCAACAGGCATGTAGATTGAATCATATTCATCAAATAATTTAGTTTATCAAGGCGTGATTAATTGATTTTCGCCGCATGGTGAATTCTGCTCCATTTTGCAATAAATACGAGTTCTAAACATTTGTTTTATCCGATTGTACCTGTCAAATGTAATTATCATGTTCTCCGCCTCAATTCGAATCCGAATCCTAATGGATTCCTCTAACAATGTAGTTATTGGAGATGTAACCAACATCATTTTGGATCCAATTCTGATATTTTCTCTTCGTATGGGTGTCACCGGTGCTGCCATTGCGCATGTGGTTTCTCAGTAAGTTCTAACTTTTTTTGTTCACTACCATATTTGGTATCAAAAGAAGTTCATGTTGCCTTGAAAAGTTTTGTTTATTTGGTTCGTGCGCGTCGCCTGATTTGTAATTTTGCAGGTACCTTATAACATCGATACTCTTCTTTCGATTAGTGAAACAGATTGATGTCGTCCCACCTAGCATCAAAGCTCTTAACCTACGCCGGTTTCTTAGATGTGGTAGGATTTCGAATTTGTGCAATGCCCTTTGATATTTTGCCATTTTGGTAGGGTTAACTTGACAAGATTCCCTGTAGTTCGATAGTTGCATATAGACTCCCTGGGTTAACATTTTTCTTGCTCCATCACCCTCACACTCGCTAATTTCACCCTTGGGCGTATCTGCCAAAAATGTACACCAAGGCTAAAAGAGTCCAAACAAATAATCCAGGAGGTCTATCTGCAATAATGAAACTACAGGGTCGTAAGTTAAAAACAGCGATACTACAGGGGGTCTATCTTCAACTAACCTTTTTCAGTTAACATGTCATGTTTGTTTATTCCTTCTTCTTATTTATATATATATATATATATATATATATATATATATATATATATTCTTGCTGATGGGCTCGCGGTCGCTGGACAGGTAATTTCTATTTTCTTTCCCATTAATATAAAATTTTATTTTCAGGAATATGGAAGCAGCCAATAAACACTTATAAGAGAACATTACCAAACTCTGATGAACTAACGGTTTGTGTATTTTCCTGAAAGTATAATCGATAATGTGGAATATTTCTTGCGCGACATTTTGAAGTTGTGCTTCCTATTTTTTAGTACGTGAGTACATTACCTATTCGTTTCGTTACATCTCAAGTTTCGTTATGTTTATTTCAGGCTATACTTGCTAGTGCATTTGCTAGAGGAGATCAGCGTAAAATTCTGGCTTCTGCTGCCCGCGTCCTTCAGGTGTCGCCTCCTTCAACTTAGAACTACTACATCTATCCTTTTCTTTGTAAAGTTAAAATGTGGACTGACGTCGTCATGGGATATCTGCAAAGCGCAGAAACTTATTGGAGTGTTCTTTATTTAGGGTTTACTGCAAAACGCTGAAAGTGATTGGTGGTTTGTTGTAATAAACCGTATTAAATGTCTTGTGTTATTTTGCAGTTGAGCATAGTTCTTGGGGTGGTGCTCGCTCTTGCGCTTGGACTTGGAATGCAGTTTGGATCAAGAATATTCACAAAGGATGTCAATGTGTTAAAGATAGTACATAGAGGATTACCGGTACATTTCCATATTATCATAATAAAAATATAATAAAATGACAATTACAGATTGCAGTAAGATTCAATTCTAAACTATTGCTCTTCAGTTTGTAGCTGCAACTCAACCGATCAATTCTCTGGCATTTGTTTTCGATGGTGTCAACTTTGGAGCATCAGATTACACCTTTGCAGCATATTCTATGGCAAGCAGTTTATTTACCCCTCTTAAAATTGAAAATACATGACCTGTTGTCATGAAACCTTATATATCTACCCTAATATTCTCAGGTTGCCGTTGCTTCCATTAGCATCCCATGCTTGATTTTTCTCTCCTCAAGCCATGGATTTTTGGGAATTTGGACTGCATTGACGATCTACATGACCCTTCGGACCTTGGCCAGTATTTGGAGGTAGATTTGCTAATAACAACGTGTCGGTTATCATGAAAATTTTACAGTCTCCTCATTGTTTCTGTATTCTTATTTTCAGGATGGGGGCGGCGAGGGGGCCATGGACCTTCATTCGAAAGTAGACGTTAACAACAAGAATAATATGAATAANGTAATGAACTTGTTAATGGCAGCATTTATCATATATGTGTTGTACTTGTACATGCTAGTTACAGACAAGTTGGCTTGAGAGAAATGATAATCAAAAGGAGGCAAAAAAATGTGATCGGCTAACTGCTTTAATGTGAACTTGAGATTGCTTGGATTGTCTAAGATATGTGATATTTTCACGTAAACTCAGAGTTTTAACTTGAAGACAAGTCCTAATGGAAGAGGGGGAAAAAGAAGAAAAAAAAATTAGTGCGGCGAAGAGGACAAAGAAGGAAGATGATTCAAATACTTCTTTGGTGGTGCTTAGTTTCAATTTTGGAGGGAA